CTGAGTGTGTGTGTGTGTGTGTGTGTGTGTGTGTGTGTGTGTGTGTGTGTGTGTGTGTGTGTGTGTGTGTGTGTGTGTGTGTGTGTGACCTACCGCTAACGTACCTGTGATCCTTGGTGCAGGAACCAAGGATCACGTTGAAGAGAAACAACAATGACAATGCAGCGGAACACTGAAAACACAGATCTGACTCATAAGGACCCCGGGACCAAGGCATACATCCATCATCACTCGCACACAGGAATTGGTATGACGATGCGAACATAGAAGAGAATCGTCATGCCCCACATGCATCTACATAAACAGATGAAGAAGATGGGGGGAAGAGACGAAGAGAGGAGAAGGAGGGACACTGCAAGTTGACAGCCCTGCAAAAGAGTAGTCCCCACATTGCCCACAATAGTCCCCAAAGTCTCTGTCGAGAATACAATGTCCAAGTCTGGGCAATAGCCCGAACATCTCATAGGAGACGAAGAAGAAGAGGAAGAAGAAGGTGGATATGGAGGGCAGAAATGCATGGAGGCAATGGGTGTAGGTCCAAACTTTAGGAAATGAGTCAGGGTACTGTATACTGATGCACACGGGCAGGTATCAGACTCCTATCCAATGACGCGCTCGACAGACAGGGCAACCCACTCGCCGCACCCATTTTCCTGTTCATAATGGAAGCGGTGACCTCCTTCCTAAGAAAAGATCCTTCGATCCAGCGATTGGTTATGAGCAGGGCAGGGAATGTACTATTCCAACTACGATCCTATTTGCGGATGACCTAACGGTCCTGATTCATGCCTCAGACTCCTCATTTGTCGCCCTTACGAGAGCCATGCAAGCATGTCAGCTAGCATCGGAAATGAAGATCAACTGGGCGAAGACGCTTGGTGCAGGGACCAGAACCAGGCATGCAGTGGCGGTCCCCAGCGGAGCCCCTTCGCTTTCTAGGAATCAAGATCACAGAAACAGGGCCTCATCACTCCATGGCCGCGGATCAGCTATCCAAGACGTGGGAGCTTGGGCTTCAATCTACACCTCCCTGTACTGTAGAGCACTAATTTTAAACGCTTCTATTTTCTCAATGGTGTGATATGCGGGGTCAGTCCAGAGCCCACCGTCGCGGACTACAGTGGAGTTGAGGAAGAAGGCGGCAGCGTACCTATGGACTTCAAGGTTCAAGCCATAGTTGCAGCGCATCATGTGCGCACAAGTTGCGCATGGCGCCGCAGCGCACATGCGCACACGTGCACGCGCACATGATGCGGCGCATTTAGGAAAAAAAAATAAAAAAATCAGAAACAGTAGGTCGTCATACCCATAACTGTCCCTCCCTTTTAAAGAGGGTAA